GGCACGAGCACCTCTGGCACGCGCGCCAGCACTTCCGGCCTCGCACCCGCCGTGCGCGCCACAGGCAGCTCACCAGCCTGTGACCGACGGGGGGCAGTGACGACCAGGAGGAGAACCACGATGGCGTCTGCAGCGCCGAAGCTCCACCGTAGAGAAGGACATGTGCACACCGAGAATGGGCACTACCATGCGGCCAACAAGCGCACAAAAGCACATGCAACAGAAGTAGCTCATGCGAACATACCGATGCCAAAGAAGGAGGCGTAGGTTGCGAGCCTTCACTTGCTGACGCTCCAGTGACGTGGGTGGTGCCCGTTTAGTTGCCTTGGCCGGCTCGCGCAAGCGCTTCGTCGCTGACGTCATTGTTATTCCTATTCCTGACCTCCTCCTACATCACTACTAATCGTCTTCCTCATCATCAACGCCAGTGCCATCATCGTCGCGCTCATCATCGCCACCTTTATCACCACCATGATCACCGTTATTATCACCATCATCATCATCACCACCACCACCATCACCACCACCACCACCACCACCATCATCATCATCATCATCATCATCATAATCGTCATCATCATCATCATCATCATCATCACCACCACCATCACCACCATCATCATCATCACCAATACCATCATCGTCACTGCACACCATCGCAATCGTCAACGCCATCAGCATCGACGGTGTCAGTATCATCAATACCACCTAACCATCTTCAACTTCATCAGCATGATCACCATTCATTATCACCACTGTAATCGTCACCGCCATAACTACCACTACCATTATCATTGCCAGCCAGCCATCATCATCATCATCATCATCATCATCATCATCATCATCATCAGCAGCAGCAGCAGCAGCAGCAGCAGCAGAAGCAGCAGCAATACAACCAGCATGCCGACATATCGCTCCAAGACGCCGAAAACGGATCCAGACTGCCGAAGAGGCCCCCAAGACGCCCCAAGAGGCATCCGAGAGCACTCCCAAGAGAGCCTTAAGAGGCAAAATGAACTTAATTCCATCGGTTTGGGGAGGATTTTCGCGTATCTGCCTTTTCGGTTTCTGGACGCTCCAAGACAGCCCAAGAGGCCCCAAAGATCACTCCAAGACAGTCTCAGAGGCCCCCAAGAGGGCGGCGGCACAATTCAAGTCGCCCCCAAGACAGCCCGAGAGGCCTCCGAGACGGCCCAAGAGAGCCCAAAAAGAACTCCAGGAGGGTGCCAAGACAGGGGAACCGAACGACCATTTCGAGCCCTCGGCCTCGAGAGGCCCCCAGGAAGCCCCAAGAGGCCCCCCAGGAAGCCCCAGAAGGCCCCCAAGAGGCCCCGTACAAGGCCCCAAAACTGCCCCCCAGAGGCCCCCGAGATCGCTCTGAAGAGACCCCAAGGAGCATCCCGGAGGATTTTGACCCACGACCCAGGCACAGTGGCGGGATGGGCCGAAGGCCTGTAGATCCGCCGCCCCCTGTTGGCTTGCCACGGGAATGCCTGGCGTGCTGAATCCTACACGGCTGGGTTCTAGTGCTTTTCCAAAAAGAACTCCCCCTGGGGCGTCGGCCCAGCGCGCCGGCCACCGGAAAACCGCCGGAAATATACACGTCGTGGGTTCTCGGGCCGCGGATGGTAAGACGGTCAGGAGACAGCCAAGATGGTTCAAGAGAACCTCCAAATGCGCCCAAGAAGGTCCAATATGGCCTGCAAGACGGCGTAAGAAGGACCCAAGACTTCTCCAAGTCCGCCCAAGAAGCCACCAAGATGTCCCAAGACGGCCCCAGAGGCCTCCAAGAGGCCCCCAAGACTGCCCTAGAGGCCTCCCAGGGGTCCTCCAGGAGGGCCCGAAGAGGCCAAAATCATAGATGTTTCTTAGGTTTTCGAGGGATCTTGGCATTTGCTTCTTTTCGGCCTTCCGCCCCAAGATGGCCCAAGATGGCCCCATGACGGCCCCATGACGGCCCAAGAGGCCCCCAAGACGGTCCCAAGAGGGCCCCAAGACGGCCCAAGAGGCCTCCGAGACGCCCAAGATGGCCTCCAAGAGGGCCCTGGAGCGCACCAAGAGGGCCCCAAGACGGCCCCAAGAGGCCCCCAAGACGGCTTCCGACGGCGTCAGACGGGCCAGGAGCGCCCAGGGGCGGCCAAAGAGGCCCCTAGAGGGCCCCGAAGACGTCTCAAGAGGCCTCCAAGAAGCCGAAAGTGGCCTCCAGGACGACCCTGGAGCGCCCCAAGAAGGCCCCAAAGCGGTTCAGAGAGGTCCCCAAGACGGCTTCCGACGGCGCTAGACGGTCCAGGAACGCCCCAAGACAGCCAAAGAGGCCCCGAACAAGCCCCCAAAGGCCCCCAAAATGCCCAAGGAGGCACCCACGAGGCCTCCAAGAGGGCCCCAGAAAGCTCCCAGGATACCCCAAGAGTGCTCCAAGAGGCTTCCAAGAGGCGTCCTCCTCCGTACTCTTCTCCTCCCCCTATTTCTCCTCCTCCTCCTCCTCCTCCTCCTCCTCCTCCTCCTCCTCCTCCTGCTCCTCCTCCTCCTCCCTTTTCCTTCTTCTCCTCATTCTCCCCTTCCCCACGTGTCCCCCGAAAGGTTTCAACGACGGCTGGGGAACACTGGTCCGATAGCTCTAGCTCAAATTTCGATATGACCATCGTGCAAGAGTTTCGGGGGTAGAGAGGGGCCCCTTTCGGAACAGGACTCTCGCTGGACTTGTGCCTAAACTTCCTGGTCCGATTGCGTTGTTTGGAGCACCTCCAATTTCAAATGGGGATATAGCCTGAATGTCAAGGCGATGAGGCGTTCTTCCTTCAATGAGGAGCTGCCTGTGGTGCAAAGAATGCCTGTCGGGAATTACGAGGAGGGAGCTCAGGACGGGAGGGTGTACTGAAGCATTGGTGATGAACCGAGGGTCTACTCTCCTCATCAACCCATGTGTTCCCCACCGGTATCCTCATCCCTCTCCATTTCCTCCTCTCCAACACCCTCATCCTCATGTTTAGCCTGAATACCCTTATTTCCTCATCCTGGGAGGCATGCGGAATGCGGAGAGCGTGGAGGACTGAGGCAGGAAAGAGAAGGAGGAAGGGAAGGAGAAAGAGGTGCAGACTGAAGGAAGACGCAAGAGCTGGAGGAAAAATGGTGGGAGGGGGCAAGGGGCAGTAGAAATATAGGGGAGGAGCGCGAGAAAAAGGAAGAGGATGAAGCAGAGAGATGAGGAGTGCGAAAGAGGCAAGAGAGGGGGAAAGCGTTGCCAGCCTCAAGTCGGGCCTGTCCCCCTACAGGCCGATTTTGGACGAATAACTAAAAATACCAAAACAAATGCCGCAAAAATGCTCAACATTGGCAAAAAAAAAAAAAAAAAAAAAAAAAAAAACGTCCCCAGACTATCTTTGACTACTTTGGAATATCCCCCCTGTAGAGGGACAGGCCCGACGTAACGCCAGCCACACGCTGCATGTCTGCTGGGTGTCTCTCGCTGCGCCTGCCGGCACCTCTCCCCGGCTGGGTACCCGGCGAGGGCACGCGCAGGGAAGAGGGGGCGAGGAGGGCGAGGAGGAGCAGAGGCAGCTGCACAGCCTTACCCCCCTGGGGAAACCCATCGCCTCGACGATCTCTCGAGAGGGGTGTCGAAATCGGTGGGTCCCCCAGGGGGGCAAGGACCACAGCTCCCCCAGTTGTGGCTGCACAACCGACCAGCCACAACTGGGGGAGCTGTGGTCCTTACCTTCGTGGGCCCCGGAATCGGCAGGGCCGTTTTGTTCACCATTTCCGAACAGGGTCCCTTGAAAATGGAAACGGCAAAAGAACGGCGACCAGAAACGGCAGCAAAAGCGGCTCCAGGATCGGAACCAGAGCGGGAACCCGTAAAAGAACGGCGACAGAACCAGTAAAAAAACGGCGTCGGAACTGGCAAAAAACGGCAAAACGGAACCGGTAAAAAAACGGCCCTGTCGATTCCAGGGCCCTCTAAGGTCCTTACCCCCCTAGGGGAACCCATCGCCTCGACGATCTCTCGAGAGCGGTGTCGAAATCGGTGGGTCCCCCAGGGGGTAAGGACCACAGCTCCCCCAGTTGTGGCTGGCCTGCACAAGGACGAGGAAGAGGAGGTGGGGGACGAGAAAAACGAGGAAGGCAGTGAAGAAGAGGATGGGGGAAAGGGAGCAGGCGGTGGGGTGCTGAGGCGGGCAGGTGGGAGCAGAGAGAGGAGCGGGGGGAGGAGGAGGAGGAGGAGGAGGAGGAGGAGGAGGAGGAGGAGGAGGACTACAATGAGAGGGGCAGGGGTAGAAAGAGGATGATGGGGAAAGATAGCGGTGAATTCGAGGAAGAGCGGGAAGAGGACGAGGAGGATCAGGATGACAGGAAGGAGGACGAGAAGGACGAGGCATTGGAGGGACAGTAGGATATGGAGACAAAGAGACGGATGACGAAGAGTAGCAGGATGAAGAGCAGAGAGGTGGAATTGCTGTCGCTCAAGCTCAGGAACCCATCATTTGACTTGGGCGGTGCTTGAGCAGTGCTTGTGAATTCCTGATATGCTTCGTGCAATGCTGCGCCATAAGTGCCAAAGACAGTGCAAGGCGGCGGGAGATACTTCCCATGTGATTATGGTGGCGCATCATGGCACTCAGACTTGCCAGCTGCTCTGCGCCAGAGTCGAATCATCCACACGGACCCCATCCAGTTACACGACGTCGGCTCTTTCCAAACCCATGGTGGCCTGGCATCTGCTGCGAGTCCAGGTTCGCCTCGATTCCAGTAGCGGAATTGCGAAGCCATCAACAGCTCTGTCTCCCCTTCATATGTTACTCCAGGGACGTATGTGCATCGCGCGGACCTGTGGAGGAGGTCGAAGGGATGTAGGAAGGAGGAAGAGGCCGAACAGCAGCAGAAACAAGAGGAGGATCAGGATCAGGATGGGACGGAAGGAAGAGGGACAGAGGGGAGGGAACATGAAGGAGGGAGGAGAGAGGAGGAGGTAGGAGGGACGATCTGAAAAAAAGGAAAAACAACAGAAAAACAAAGAAGGAAGGAACAGGGAGGAGAAAGGAGGAAGACGGGAGGAAAGACGGATGACAGAGGGGAAGGGAGGAGGGAACGAGGACGAGGGGACCGGGGAGAGGCCGGTCGGGGCCCCAAGAGGCCGAAGATGGCGAAAAGCGTCCCGTCGTGATTCTCTCGTGGCCCGAGGGGGTCTGGGGAGAGAGGCGGCGGGGACGGGCCAGGCCGAGGCGCGCTGGGTCAGCAGGCAAGCGCACTCGGCTGCTCGCAAAGGAGCTACCCGCAAATGGCCTGGATCCGCCGCGGGGGATGCACGATCCATCACGTCGAGGCAACTATGTTTGTGGATGGCATGACAATGGACACTCTGACAATCCTATCATTGAATGAAAATGTGATTATAATAAAACCTGTTCTGCAAATGTTTCAAACATGGTTGCACATATTGAAAACATGTTTGAAACATGTTCTAGACATCTGGAAATTATCTGGCAGCATGCTTCCTCTCCATTAACCGACTTCCACGAAATTATGTGTTCTTCGGACGTTTGCGAACAGGCCCGTTGCGAGCAGAGGAGCGCGCTCGGTCAGTCAGGGCGCGGGAGAGGGGGCGGACCCGCCCTCGCGGCCTTGAAGGCTCGTCTTCGGAGGGGCTCCTCCTGCGGGGGCCAGCGCGCCGGCGGGTGCGCCGAGGGAGGAGCTGCAGCGGCCGCGGAGGGAGCAGGGGAGGGCGGAGGAGGGGAGGGGGAGCCAGAGGAGGCGAGCAAGGAGAGCAGGGCGAGGAGGTATAAGGGAGGGGGGAGAGGGCGGAGAGGGGCGCGTCGGATATCTCGCGAGGGGCGCTGGGGCGGCAGCCCAAAGACAACAGAGCCCCGCGGGCGGCGCTCGCGCGGGCTGCGCGCTCGCGCGGCGAGGGCTCGCCGCGGCGAGCCCAGCGCACAAATAACGACGCGGTCGCGGCGACCTCCCCGGGAGACTCCCTGGCGCTGGGCCGGAGGCAGAGGGGCGGAGGGAGGAAGACGAGGAGCCGAAGGGAAGACGAGGAGCAGGAGAGCTCCAGCAGGAGGAGGGGGGGAGAGAGAAGGGAGGTGCAGGCTGGAGAGTGGCATGCGGAGAAATGGGCGCGGCCGACGGTTCGTTCAGCGTCGGCAGGTCGTCACGGTCAATGGACGCATCTAAGGAGCACAAACTAGCCAGGCTTGGCCCTGTGCAACTAGATTGAAGGCCAAACGGACGCGCAGCCCTTGACCGTAGTTCCGTTCAGCTCGAGCCTTGGCTGTCAGGCATAGGATTCGAACAGTGACAATCCCACCAGCCCTTTGGGCGTGAGTGGTTTAGAGAGCGCGCTCTGTCCTCAACCCCCCTTCTTCCCCTTCGGGGAGGGGTTTACCCCTCCCCCTACCCCCTCCCCTCTGGGCCTGGACAGGGAGTCCCGGGTGTTCTCAAGGGGGTCTTTTTTCGACTCCTGGGAGGGGCAAAAAACGACGACCCTCAGGAGGATTCTGGCCCCGACGGGGGGGGCGAGTTTGGCCCCTCTGCTCTTCTTTGAAGCCAAAATCATTGATTGTACTAGGGTTTTGGCCCCATTTTGGCCTCCTGAGGGGGCCGCGGTTCTCTTCCCTCATAGCAAAATCATTGATTTACTAAGGTTTTGGCCTCATTTTGTCCTTCTCAGGGGGCAGCTCTCCTTTGCGCTTCTGCGGAGGTCGCAAGAGGCCCCAAGATGGCCCCAAGAGGCCCCCAGGAGGCTCCCAAGAGGCCTCCAAGAGGCCCCCCAGAGGCCCCCAAGCGGCCCCAAGAGGCCCCCAAGAGGCCCCCAAGAGGCCCCACGAGGCCCCAAGAGGCCCCCAAGAGGCCCCCAAGAGGCCCCCAAGAGGCCCCCACAAGAGGCCCCCAAGAGGCCCCCAAGAGGCCCCCAAGAGGCCCCCAAGAGGCCCCCAAGAGGCCCCACGAGGCTCCAAGAGGCCCCCAAGAGGCCCCACGAGGAGCCCGAACGACTCACATCAGGACGAGGGGCCCGAACGACTCACACCACGAAGAGCCCGAACGACTCACACCACAAGGAGGGGCCCGAACGACTCACACCAGGACGAGGCGCCCGAACGACTCACACCACGAGGAGCCCGAAGGACTCACACCACGACGCGGGCCCCGAACGACTCACACCACGAGGAGCCCGAACGAGTCACACCAGGAGGAGGGGCCCGAACGACTCACACCAGGACGAGGGGCCCGAACAACTCACACCACGAGAAGCCCGAACGACTCACACCAGGACGAAGAGCCCGAACGACTCACACCACGAAGAGCCCGAACGACTCACACCAGGAAGAAGGGCCCGAACGACTCACACCAGGACGAGAAACCCCAAACGACTCAAACCACGAGGAGCGCTTTCTCTCCCTCCTCCTCCGCCTCGTCCTTCTCCCGCTCCCCCCACAAGGAGGATGTACAAGGAGGCGGGAGGAAGGAGGAACAGGGGAGATATGCGGGGCCAAGCGGACACACGCCTGAAAAACACGACTGTCGGCATGCTTCGCGAGAGTTGCTGCTGTGAGATGGGCTGGTGGGGACACGCGAAGCGTAAAGAATTGAAACACTCTCTCGCCTGCACCCCCTTAGCTTGACTCTGGCAGCGTCCGACTCCCCAAAAATTGCTGCATGACACAGGGGAGAGCGAGGAAGACGACGACCAACCACGGCCCAAGCGGGCGAATGGAGCCTGGAGAAAAACCGGCGACCCAGCGTGAGGTCCTCCTCGTTCTACCTCCCGTCCTCCTCCTCCTCCTCCTCCTCCTCCAACTCATCCTCCTCCTCCTCCTCCTCCTCCTCCTCCTCATCATCATCATCATCATCATCATCATCATCATCATCATCATCATCATCATCATCATCATCATCCTCATCTCATCATCATCATCATCATCATCATCATCATCATCATCATCATCAGCAGCAGCAGCAGCAGTATCATCATCATCATCATCATCATCATCATCATCATCATCATCATCATCATCATCATGCATCATCATCATCATCATCATCATCATCATCATCATCATCATCATCATCATCATCATCATCATCATCATCATCATCATCATCATCATCCTCTTCCTCCCTTGGCCTCGCCGTCGTTCCTCCCCTTTCTCCTCCTCCTCCTCTTCCTCCTCCTCCGCCTCCTCTTCCTCCTCCTCCAGAGCAGCTAACCCTCAGAGCTGCTGCTGGGGGAACCGATGCCGCAGACGGGGGCGATCAGGGCGCGGAGCTGGGGCGGAAGGGGGAGGGGGCGAGGGGGCAGGAGGGCCCGCACGGAGTCCTGAGCGTAGTAGAGCCCCACATCCCTACGGTGAACGCTGTGCTACGACCGAATGTGTCTGTCGCGACCGTGTGACTGCTCAACCACGGGAACTCGTGTTCCGGCCGTCTGCTCTCGCCGCCTGGTCGATGTCAGGCTGTGCTCCTGGCCAAGAGGGGAGCGTGCGAAGGCGACGAGGAGGAGGAGGAGGAGGAGGAGGAGGAGGACGGCGGAGGGAGCGGCAAGGGCGGGACACGAGGGCACGCAGCAGGAGACGGCGAAAAGCGGGCGGAGGCGGAGGAGGGGCGCGGAGGAGGGCGCGGCCGACGCGGAGAGCGACGGCGCGGGTGAGCGGAGGAGAGGGCCGAGGAAGCGGAAGGGCACGGGGAGGGCCGAGGGGAGAGAGAGAGAGAGAGAGGACGGGGAGACGACGACGACGACGACGACGACGACGACGACGACGACGACGACGACGGCGGCGACGACGACGACGACGACGGCGACGACGAAAACGACGTGGACGAGAAGGTCAAGGAAGACGAGGATCCAGCAGGAGAAGCGATACGTCTTGTCGGACAGACTACAGAAGAAGAAGAAGAACAGAAGTAAGACTGGTACTGGTAAGGGTGCCACGAGCAGCGGAGCAACTCGGCAATGCAAGAAGGCACGGAGGCAGGCCAATGCCCGGGGGCCAGAGCGGAGGGAGCGCGGAGCTGCGCCACGCCTTCGGCAGCCGTCGCTGCGAAGCGGAGAGCCTCGCGGCGGTCTCCCTGCTCCCTCAGTCGTCTTCCGCGCGCACTTCTCTGAAGGGGAACTGGGACACACAAATAAATACACACAAACAAAACTGTCCCCCATATTTTCCCATATTTTCTGGGTTTCTGTCTTCCCCCCCACTTCCCATATTTTCCCATATTTTCTGGGGAATCGACGATTCATTGTGTCTGTGTGTTTTTGTTCCTCCTGAATGACACGTGTTCCTCGTCCTGCTCGCGTCTGCCCTGGGTCTCCCCTCCGTCCGCGGCCCGGGCGCGCGAGAACATCGGGCCACGCCCCCACCCCCCCTCCCCCAGGGCAGAAGAAGGAGGAGTTGTCGGGCGCAACGGGGGAATCCGAGACTGGCGGCATCGCGCGCCAGATCCCCACAGCACAGCAGTGGCCCCTCGACCTCCCCAGGAGACCTGGAAAGAGGAGCGGCTGGGGGGAAGGGGGAGGAGGGGACCGGGGAGCAATATATGCCAGAACTCCCGACCAATCGCAGATCGGCGGAATAGTACCAGAGATAAACTGCACCATCGCAGTCCCGAAAGTGCGAACGGCGACAGCGCAAGTGGAAGAGCGAAAGGAAGACAGGGAGGGCAAGATGAGGAGGACGGGAGGGCAAGCGGATGAGAGGACAAGAGAGAAGAGCAGCAGGAGGGGCAGCAGGTGAAGAGCAGCAGAGGAGCAATAGGAGGCAGACGACAGACAAAACGAGGTCGAGAAGACGAGAACCATCAGACATGGGAGCGCTCATGCTTCGATGCGTGTGTGTGTGTGTGTGTGTGTGTTGTGCACTTTGGTGTGCAACGGTTGCGCTTGAGCCGCACGGCGGCGATGGAGGCCACGTGGACTGCGAGCCTCGGCCGTCGGCCGGGAGGGGCGCCTCGGCCGTCGGCCGGCTCCCCTCCTCCTCCTCTCCTCCTCCTCCTCCTCCTCCTCCGCCTCCTCCTCCTCCTCCTCCTCCTCCTCCTCCCCTCCTCCCTCCTCCTCCTCCTCCTCCCCCTCCTCCCCCTCACCTCCTCCTCGTCCTCCTCCTCCTCCTCCTCGTCCTCCTCCTCCTCCTCCTCCTCCGCATCCTCCTCCTCCTCCGCCTCCTCTTCAAGACTCTGCGACTCCGCGTGGACTGTGGGGGGCGGAGGGCCTCAGGCCGCGGAGCGTGGCGGCGGGCCCGAGTTCGGCAGCCCGCCTCCGTGCCTGCGGCACGCCCGAGGCGTGGAAGAACCAGAGGCCCCCTAGATGGAGTCCGAGTCGACGGGGTCGGAGGATCTCGCAGCATCGCCGATACATCGACGATGCATCGGCCATGCACTGGCGACATCAGCGATGGCGATGCATCGGCAACGTCGGCGTGGAGAAGATTCGGCTCCACATCGAGCCGCATCGCCGATGCATCGGCGATGCAGAGCAATCCTCCGACCCCATCTACTCCGACCCAATCTGAGAGGTCTAGAAGAATGCGAAGGGCTGCCTGGAATGGTGTCTTCGGCTGAGCAGCTTTTTGGGGGGCCGCGGGGGGGCCAAGCACCATCGCGCAAGACGCTGCTACCGCATCGCGTTCGGCGATCGGGGGACCCCAGTGGGCCCGCACCAAAGGCCACTCCGGCGAACGGTCACTCTTAAGTGTAGTCGATGTTTGTAATATCCTAAGGGGCTCCCCCACCTCCAGCCCCGGCCACGCCCGCCCACGCCCGCCCACGCGACTGCACCGCCCCTACTCTCGGGGGGTCCCTGGGCGGCCATGGCGCCTCCCTGAGGCTCTCCAAGGCTTCCATAACGGCCCAAAACACCCACCCGGGCCGCCAAGAGGCCTCAAATACAGCCCAAGATCGCTGCAAGACGCCGAAGATGGCCCCAAGACTGCCCAATAGGCCTCCAAGACGCCTGAAGAGGATTCCAAGAGGCCTCCCAATAGGGCCCCAAGATGCAAAAATCATTGGTTTTCCTTCGGTATTTGAAGGGTTTGGGCGTTCTCGCCTTTTCGGCTTTCCGACGCTCCAAGACGGCCAAAGAGGCCCCCAAGACCACCCCAAAAAAGGCCCAAGAGGCATCCAAGAGGGTCCCAAGACAGCATAAGAGCGCCCCAAGACGGCCCAAGAAGCGCCCAAGACGGCCCAAGAGGGCCCCAAGACGGCCCCAAGAGGGGCCCAAGAGAGGGAACACGAACCGAAAATCCGAGCCTTCCGTCCCAAGAGGCCCCCAGGAGGCCCCAAAAGGTGTCCAAGAGACCCCAAGAGGCCCCCAGGCGGCCTCCAAGAGGGTCCTGCCCGTGTTTCCGCTTGCCCCTCGCCCTCTCCGACCACTCTGGTGGCTCGTAACTTTGGTGGGCCAAGCGGGCCATCCCTGGAGCCCTGCGGGGCTCGCTCACCCTTTTGGTAAGTGGCCTGGCCGCTGCTGGACACGGTCCGCGGCGGCGAAGGCCCGCTTGCAGCGTGGCGGAGCGGACCGGCGGTGCGCTAGCATGCCGTTGGCAACAAACGATTCGTCATCTTACGCCACCGCCTTACGGAGGAGGAGGAGGAGGAGGAGGAGAAGGAGGAGGAGGAGGAGGAGGAGGAGGGGGAGGGGGAGGAGGGGGAGGGGGAGGAGGAGGAGGAGGAGGAGGAGGAGGAGGAGGAGGAGGAGGAGGAGGAGGGGGAGGAGGAGGCGGCTGGCAGGGCGCGCGAAGAGCTCATGATTTTCTCAATGCTGAGCTGCTGGCAAGTCTATCTTCGTGTGAGGTCGACCGGACGGCAGCGGGCCCACGCCTGAGCATGGCGTACCAGAGAACGAAAAGGATCAAGCCCGCCAGCATCATCGCCACTCCTTGGTGGTGGCAGAAGAGGAGCGGGGAGGAGGAGGGGAAGGGGGACTCGAGCGGGAGGGGGAGTAGGAGGAGGAGGAAGAAGTCCAGCGTAAACCCAAGAGCCATCAACGATGTTGGAATACACCCTCCCTCCAAGCTTCCTTTTCATAGGCCCCTACAACGGTTCATTTCCATTGAGCTATCTGCCTCGTTGGAAGACAACCGCTTGAAGACCTGGAAGCATGCTAAAACTCTGGATTCCAACGCCACGGATCAACCTGATTGTTGCGTCTTGACGATCCTAGATCGTGCCTGAACGCCGTTCTTGAGATTTCAACACCGCGAATCAACATAACTGCTGCACTCGCAAAATCCTGAATCCTTCTAAAACACCATTTCTGGTACGTTGATCGCGGGAGTCCGTGAAACTCTTACGAATTTTATGAAGGGATGTGCGTGGCGCTCAGGCGAGAGCCACATCTTGAAAAAGAACCACCCTCAATCCGTGAAAGTCATGCAATTTTTCAAAAACGAATGTGCGCGGCGCCAAGGCGAGAGCCACATTTTGAAATCAGGTTTTCCTCAATCCATGAAACTCTTGCAAAAAGGAACGAATGTGCGCGGCGCAAATGCGAGAGCCACATTTTGAAAACCACGGTCCTCCATGTGTGAAACCGTTGCCAAGTTTTCAGCTTCAGAGTCAGAAGTGATGAGGCAGTCTCTGGCGAAACGCCCGGCCCGCCCTAAAAACCTGGCCTCGGGGTGCGACAGGGAGAAGTTATTTGTAAGGAAAATTCGCCAGCCCAACGGGCCAGGGCGTGCTAAGATCTCCGGTACCTGGTGAACAGTATTTCTAGTTCGCGCGCGCGGGGCGGCCCCTGGGGGTCCCCGGAAGAAAAGTACCCCGGCAAGGTCCCGGCAAGTCCCCGGCAAGTCCCCGGCAAGGTCCCGGCAAGGTCGGGTCAGAGATGCCGGAGTTCTGTTTCGGAGTCCAAGAGGGCTCCAGATCGGTCCAAGAGGGCCCCGAGAAGCTTTCTAGACGGTCCAAGAGAGGCCCGAGACGGCCAAAGATCGTCCGAAGACGCCCCAGATGGCCCCAAGACAGCCCAAGAGGCCTCCAAGACGCTCCAAGGGCCTTCCAAGAGGCCTCCGAAGAGGGCCCCAAGTTGCCAAAATCGTTGATTTTCATTCGTTTTTTTCTATGTTTTTTTGCGTTCTGGCCTTTTCGCTTCCGGACGCTCCAAGAGGGCCCAAGAGGCCTTCAAGACTGCTCCAAGACGGCCCACGAGGCTCCCAAGACGGCCCCGGAGCGGCCCAAGGGCGCCCCCCAGACGGCCCAAGTGCTGCCCAAGGCGGACCAAGAGGCCCCAAGACGGGCCCAAGAGGGGCTCAAGAAGGGAACCGAGAACTGAAAAATCGAGCCCTCCGCCCCAGAAGGCGCCCAGGACCCCGAAAGAGGCCCCAAGAGACTCTCCAAGACACCCCCAAGACGCCCCAATAAGCTCCCGTGAGGCCCCAAGAGGACCAACAACGTCAGGCCCCAGGCCCCAAGAGGACCAACAAATACCGCCAAGAGCCCGCCGAAAGCCCCCCAAGAGACCGTCACGAGAGCTCAGGAGGCCCCCTGGAGGCCTCCCGAGTTCTCCAAGAGGCCTAAAAAGAGGCGCCAAGAGGCCCCAAACGGCCCCACCGAGGCTCCAAGAGGCCACGAACGCGCAAGCAAACGCCTGCGATGGCACAATACGGGCCGGCGGAATGAGCGAAGCGATTAAATTAATTGAGCGGGAGATCGGGGGGGGAGAGAAGGGGGGTGGATGGGGACGATACGATGGCGGGGATCTCAGCTGCAGCACCTCAGGCCGTGGGAAACTGCAGGCTGCGGGCGTCGAGGAACCCAAAGGTCATTCCCGTTCCTCTTCCTCCACCTACTCCTCCTCAACCTTCTCCTTATCGTCCTTCTTCTTCTCCCCACCAGATCCATGCTCCTGCCCATGCCCATGCCCATGTCCATGGCTGTATGCCGCTACTGCTGCCAATGATGTCACTTTTTTTTGTCCCTGGGACTGTATGCTGCTTCGCCTGTTCATTCATCCTGCTCCTCCTCATCCTCCTCATCTTCATCAGCAGCATCATCATCATCGTCATCATCATCATCATCAGCAGCAGCAGCATCAGCATCATCATCATCATCATCACCACCACCATCATCATCATCATCATCGTCGTCATCATCATCATCATCATCTTCATCAGCAGCAGCATCATCAGCAGCAGGAAAATCCTCATCATCATCATCATCATCATCGTCATCATCATCAATATCATCATTACCATCATTTTCCTCCTTATCATCATCAAAATGATCATCGGCAGCATCGTGTCAATCGTGCAGTACACGATCAGTTGGATTGAAAAGATTTAATGGCTGGAACGATGCATGCGTATGAGTAGTGTAATGCTTATGGTTCTGCATATGAATATGCGTATGGGGATGCCTATGTCTATGGTATTGAGTATGCCTCTGAGTAATGCTTATGCGTATGATATTGAGTATGAGTATGCTTATGATTACGAGTATATCTACGAGTATGGCTATGAGTTTGATCATGATGATGCAGATCATTATGATGATGAGTATCAGTATGGTTATGGCTATGAGCATGCGTATGCGTATGCGTATGCACATGTATATGCTTATGCGCGTGATTATGTGTGTGATAGTGTGTATGCTCACGCTTCTGAGCCAGAAGGGGCTCAGTACACCATCCGACTAGGGGCTTCGAGCGGGGGCTACTATGTCACCCCTCCCCAGCTGCGCGGAGCTACGGACGCACTCAGCCCAGGTCTCCCAGCTGGACTTGTAACCCCCACTCACACTTTCAAGAACGAACGGCTTTCAACAATGAAATGCATTACCAGATCGTCGGCCTCTCTGTCCTCCCCCGCAAGCTCCCAACTCCAACTGTAGTTTAATTCTTCAGTACGGTCCCTGGACGCCCCATATCCTTGACAGTATAACCTGGATTGGCTAAACAGCGTCATGCGCCTGATGGTATCGTTCCTTGTGAGACGCTCGGTTCTCCTACACGACTCAAAAAATGGTACGCGTGTGTGTATGAAATACACGTGTGCGTACATGTTACATGCATGCATACATGCATCCGTA